GCATCATCTTGCCCTTCTTCTCGGTGCGGCGCGCCTCCTCCATCATCTGCCGCGCCTGGTCGGCGAGCATCTGGCCCTTCTCTCCAACGGCGCGTGCATGGCGGCAACGATTGCGCCACTCGATGAACCGCGCCACCATGGTCGCCCAGCTCCAAACACTGCCATCCGTCGCGATGAGCTCGAAGTCATCGACGTCGTACTTGCCCGCGATGCTCGCCATAGCGGCGCAAGGCCGCGAAGGGGCCTCCTCTGGCAGTCCCCGCTGCTGCGGAGACTTCGGCAGAGGCCCCTGCGCGGTTCCGTCGCGGAGGCGGGCGGGCGCGGCGGGAGGCAGACCTGCAACGGCTGCGGCTTCACTTTATCGCATTTCCATCCCTCCCTGCGCTCGCATGGCTTTTCCCATTGCGCCAGTCTGCTGCTCCCACTTCTGAACTACCTCATCCCTTCTACCTCCATCTGCTCCCTCCTCTTCCTGTTCAATCCTCCCTCCTCCCTCCACCGTGCTCATTTCTCCTTACTCCCTTCTCTGCTCCTCCTACGTGGGGCGTTTCACGACAACGACGAGGACGATGACCACGACGGCGACAACGAGGACGACGACGACCACGACGACGACGACGAGGACGATGACCACGACGGCGACCAGCGACGACGACTAGCGACGACGACGACCGACGACGACGACGCCGACCACGACGACGACGGCGACGACGACAACGAGCGACGACGACGACGACAATCGACGCCGACGAGGAACGACGACGACGAACGAGGACGACGATTACGACGACGAGATGACGAAGGTTCGAAGATCGAACCTCGAAGTGCGAAGCTTCGAAATTCAAACTGCGACCTTCGAACTCCGAGCTTCAAACTTCGAGCTGCGAACTTCGCTGGGGCGCCAGGGATGCAATGGGATGGAGGGAAAAATGGGAAGGAGAGAGCGAGGCAGCGGGAGAGGAAGTTGGAGGAGAACGAACAGGCGTGGAGCGACGAGGAACGGGCGGCGAGGAGCCGACGTTGAGGGCGGCGGGATGGGGGGACAGGGAGGAGAGGGAAGACTTCAGAACGAAGATCGCGCCACGGCGCCTGCACGCGCGCCCCCGATCTCGGCGGCCGACGCGCGCGCCCCTGCCGAAATGCAACGCGCCCTTCATTCGAGCCCCGCTGCTGCGGAGCCATCTGCTCCGCAACCAAATCGTCTGGGGAGCTATTCGGCCCCCGAACTACTGGTTTGCCAGCCGCTGCTGCGGACGCCGAGGGCCCGGTGCTGGACGCCGCGGCCCCGCTGATGCGGGGCCCCTGAGAAGGCGTCGGCCTCCCCTTCTCTCCGGCAGCGTCGAACTTGACCTTGCGCTCCACGCCGAGGTCCTTGTACCAGCGATAAGTTCCTGACCCGTCGCTCCCGCCCAAACCCGCGGCTGGTGGCCTCGCCGTGTCCGCGCGGGGGACGAGGGGCAGAGCTTCGACCTTCCTGTCGCCCCAGTGCGGGTGTAAGCGGACGCCTGTCCCGTCGTCGCGGTGCAACACGAAACCCCACATCGGCAGCTTCACTTTCCTCCCTGAGCGTCGCCGCCATCTCTTGCCACCGCCAAGGGACTTCCTCGTCGCTTTTGAAACCAAAGCTCGTTCTCGCACCGTGGTCGCAAACAGCGACCATGGTGGGCCCCGCATTGTCAAACCACTTGGCTTCTGACTCGAACGGGGCAGTTGGGTCTTCATTCAGATGGCGCCACCATTTCAACGCTTGGTTGTGTTGCTTAAACGAAGTGCCGAGCCTCTCTTCATAACTCAAAAAATAAATAACGTCAAACTTCTCAAAATCCTGGGGCCCGCGCGCCGCCGCCGCTGCGGTGGCGCGGGGCTCCTGCGCCGCAGGCGCGGCTCGGGATCCCGACCCCCCCCCTGAAACTGCGTTCCCAGGTTCTGGTGAGTTTCGGAGGGCAGCCCTCGCGACATTATCGAATTCGGGCATGCCGGGACCACGGGCGCGGGGGCTCGCAACGCTGAGCGCGGCGGGGCGAGACGGCCGTTGAGGCGAGACCGCCGCCGCTGCTGCGGCGGCAGGGCCGTCGCGCCATTTGGCGTCCCCCGTTGGCGTGTTCCCGTCTTGTCGCCAGTCTCTCCGACCCCGCGCTGACCAATCATGGCCGCCCTCCCAGCCACGCCAGCCGCTGCTGCGGCTATCCCGCCATCCTCCCGCGCCGCCCCATGTGTATCCGCCTGCATCGCCCATTGCAAGACGATGGCGCAGGCGCGCGTTAGGCCGCGACAGGCCCGGCTGCACCGTTGCTCGCGGGCGATCCCACGGGCGCGGGATGGTTTGAGCATAGCGGACGAAGGAGAGTGACGAGGTAGATGGCGGGGCAGAACGGCAACGGAGGATACTGTGGTGGAAATTGTGAAAAGGACGCATGGAAAAACACGACGAGGATCACAGACGCAAAGATGATAAGCGCAGTGGTAGCATGACATATCCGAAATCAAGAAGCAGGATGAGGAGGAACGGGACGACGAGCAACTCTGTCACAGAGAGCCTCCAAACGCACCCCCTCTGTCACAGAGGGCCTCCAAACGCACCCCCTCTGTCACAGAGGGCCTCCGAAAAAAAACACCCCCTCTGTCACAGAGGGGGGAAATGATCACTTTAATGCGGCTTCTGGATTACCGCGCACCCGATAGCGACCCATGTGAGCCCAAAGATCATAATACCAATCCAATGGCCTCGCAGGTCGTAGTCGGATGCAGTCGGTTGGGGTTTGCGGTATGAAAGTCGTAAGCCTGCGTGGGGGTGGAGGCGGCACAATGTCGTACCGCATGCTGCAATGCATCAGGTCTTCGAAGAAGTTTCCAAGTGGAGTTGGTGGGTGATTTCAAGAGTGTAGTAGCGCAGGGATGCAGGACGCAGGTAAGAGGCCTCCGCGTAGGCAGAGGTGTCACTGCAAGTGTCTTTGCTATTTTGCGTAGTTATATGCATTCCTCCGCGCAGACCCACTGCACCCTGATGTTCCACCGCGTCAGTAGTCCACCAGATAGTGCCGTCGACGGTGAGTAGTAGAACTAGAGCTGACCACCATCGGCCAGCTCCGCTACCAAGTTTGGAAGGGGTTGGGAGGCCCAACCAGCCTCGCCTTAGGCGAAGCCCAGCTCCCGCTCTGTTGTCCTGTAGTAACGATAGTCCCAGTAGTAGTGGGCGAGCCATGTCAAGCAGTTTTTGTATCGATGGCAAATGATACACCTCGCGCTGAGGTGTAGTCAGATCTGGGCGGCCGGCCGCTTTGAGCCAAGCAGCCGCGGATGCACGCTCGTTCCCACTCACATGCAACACCCAGCTCACTTTAGAGTGCATGGCGTGCTGGATCCTGATGGTTTTGGCTTTGGTTCTTTTCCAAACAACTCCCCCTGGGCCTCCGGCGCGTCCGGCCAGCCCAAGATGGCCTCCAAGATGCCTCCAAAACGGCCACGATGGCCTCCACGTCGGCTAAGATGGCCCGAGAATGCCTCCAAAACGGCCCAATATGCACCATAGCCTCCATACGGCCTAAGACAGCCCAAGAGCCCCCTAAGAGGTCTCCAAGAGGTCCTCCAGGAGGCCGAAATCATTGATTTTTAGTTGGTTTTTGAAGGATGTTTGCATTTTCGCCTTTTCGGCCTTCCGACGGCCCAAGAGGCCCCCCAGATCGCCCAAGAGATCTCCAAGATGGCCCCATGACGGCCCAAGAGGCTCTCAAGATGTCCCGAAGAGGGCCCCAATACGGCTCAAGAGGCCTCCAAGACGCCCAAGATGCCTCCAAGACGGCTAAGACGGCCCCAGAATGCCTCCAACACGGCCCAAGATGCACCCAAGACGGCATGAGATGGCCTCCAGATGGCCTAAGACGGCCCAAGAGGCCCCCGAGAGGCCTCCAAGACGGCCCAAGAGGTCTCCAAGAGGTCCTCGGGCCCGAAGAGGCCAAAACCATGGATGTTCCTGAGGTTTTTGAAGAAGTATGGCATTTGCTTCTTTTCGTCACTCCGACGGCTCAAGACGGCCCAAGAGGCCCCCAAGATCGCCCACGAGGCCTTCAAGATGGCCCCATGACGGCCGAAGAGGCCCCACAGACAGCCACAAGAGGGCCCAAGAGGCCTCCAAAACTGCCAAAATGGCCTCCAAGATGGCTAAGGTGGCCCCAAGATGCCTCCTAGACGGCCCCAGATGCACCCTAGACAGCCTAAGATGTCCTCAAGATGGCCCAAGACGGCCCAAGACGGCCCCCAAGGGGTCTCCAAGACGGCCCAAAAGGCGTCCAGGAGGTCTTCCAGGAGAGCACGAAGAGGCCAAAATCATTGATGTTCCTGAGGCGTTTGAAAGATTTTGGCATTTGCTCCTTCTCGGCATTCCGACGGCTCAAGACGGCGCAAGAACCCCCAAGATCGCCCAAGAGGCCCCATGACGGCCCAAAAGGCCCCCAAGACGGCCCCAAGAGAGCCCCAAAACGGCGCAAGAGGCCTCCAAGACGCCCAAGATGGCCTCTAAGAACCCGTGATATGCCCCAAGAGGGCCCCAAGACGACCCTGACAGGCCCCCAAAACGGTTTCCGAAGGCGTCAGACAAACCAGGAACATCCTAGGACGGTCAAACAGGCCCCTACATAACTCCCAAAGGCCAACGAAAACCCTTCAAGAGGCCCCCAGGAAACTCCCAGGAGGCCCCAAGAGTGCCCCAAGAGGCGCCCAAGAGGCCGCATCCTCCTCATCCTCCTCCTCTATTGTCTTCCTCATCCTCCCCCTCCTCCTCTTCTTGCTCCCCCATGCGTTCCCCGAGGTCTTTCCAAACCGATTCGGGTAGCAACTGGCCCAATAGCTTGGCCAAGCTCTGGCCCAGCTGTCGGCCGCAGAGGCGTTTTCAAAGATGCAGGGGGCGGCGGTGGTTCGCCGTAGGCGTCTTCGATCAGGGTTGGGAGCGGCGGCTGGACAAAGAGGCGGGGGAACGCCGACGAAGCGAGCTCGCCCGCGGCTGCCTCGATCATCTTCGTCTTTTTGTCCTTGCCCTTACTCTCCTCGCCCTTGCTCATCGCCGGCTTATCCTTGCCCTCGCTCTCCTCCGCGTGGGCGCCGTCCTCCTGGAGCGCCGTCGCTAAGGGGTGCGGGGTCCACAAGGCCGAAGCAAAGCGGGAACGAGCAACGGCCGACGCCCGACTCTAACACGATCTGTGAAGGAAGCAAAATGGCCAGCGGACGTGTTGAGACATAAGGAGGAGCCATGACATCTGGCAAATTCCAGGGCAACTTGTTTTCACGTTGCAGGGACATGAATCTGACGACAATCTCGAAACGTCGTATCCTGGTTATAGTGGTGAAAACCAATATCATTCCTCCCAGGGCGGGAAGGTGGGAGCCGAAGACAGGCTGTGGAGGGGGAGAAGGGCCAAATGAAAGGGACCTCCGGTGTTAAACTCCTTGGGCCGTTTAACAAGTGTGGTGTGCATCAGAGATCACCGAATTAAATTAACTCAATCTCGAACCGTTCAAGTACATGTTGAGCAGTTCTTTTTTCCACATTGCAAAGACATGAAAACATGAATCTGACGAAAGCCTCGGAAAGCCGTAGCCAGGGGTGAAAATGGTGAAAGCCACTCTCGCTCCCCCACGAGTTTCCCAAATTCGGGAGTTCGCTAGGGTAGGGAAGGGTGGGCGCTCTTGTTGTGCCCGAAACGAGCCACGCTGGAGGCCGTGAGGGCCCTTACCGTACAGTGCGCAAGCGCAGGAGGATACGCGGCAGCATGAAGGGCACGTGCGCCCACCTCGGGTTGAAAGTGACGCGCCGTTTCGACCTCGGCAACGTCTGCAGAAGTCCACCACCACATCTTTTACAACATGGCAAAACAGCAACCGTGCTGGATTATTACATCGAGCTTTGAATTGGCACTGGTCAAATTCTACAGGTGAACGTGCGGCGGGTGCGCCAGAGCCTGTATCTCCCGGGCGTGCCACAGCCGGAAGGTAAGCGGGTGCTCAAGGACAGCAGGAATCTTGAGCTGATGGAAGAGCGCGACCAGACCTATCGCGGCCTGGGAAGTGGCGCTCCCTGTGCGAACTTTGGCCGCGTCTGGCGCGCTAAGCGACTGCTGGGCAAGCCCCGGGGTTTGGTCTTGGGGGCGGATCTTCGTCGTCCTGTCACGAGCAATCGAGAAGGTTTGGCAGACCGGCGCAAGCGTGGCAGCGATAATAAAACTTCCCCGAGCTTCGCGCTTCGCGGCGGCCAACAGTTTAGCGCCAGCAAGGTTCTGCCGAAGTGGATCGCGCGCTACATCCCAGCTGCGAGCAGCAAGGCCGAGCTTCTCGCCAGCGCGCGAGATGCACCTGCTACTTGCAAAAGAGTCTGCAACGCAGCGCCCCTTGATAGCGAAGCGCTGAACGCCTAGCCGCTCGTCGCGACTGCCGCGAAAAGTGCTCCCCGTTCCCTGCGCGCGCCTGCCGCGACGGCATTTGAATTGTGAAACGTAATGGGCGACCAAGGCCGAGCATGATCTGCAGTGGATGGGCCTCGCAGGCCTCGTAAAGCCGCCTCTGGTCCTCGGGAAAGCCCTCGTGCTCGGCGCCGAGGCGGCAGCCGCGCTCGCGGCGGTGCATGCTCTGGGCCTGCGCCCAGCAGCCGCGCATGCGAATCTCCTCGAGCGTGCGACTGCGACGACTCACGTCGACGCTGGCTCCGGCGTGGCCCACCTCGGCAGCGACCGCCTGGGCAGCCCCCGAGAGCTCCAGGCAAGCAAACGGCCGCGGCATCGCCGCCCCTCCCAGTCCCCGAAGCTGGCCGAAAAGCGGGCCCAGGCCGCGCAGGTATGTCGATTCCAGGAGGCAGCCCTTTTCGTAGCGGTTCGTCTTGCTCGGCCTGCCCCCCTCCTCCGGGCGGGCCAACAGGCCCCGACTGTCCGCGATCGCGCGCGACGGGGGGGCAAGGTCGCACTTCCGAGCCGCCAGCGCGGAAGAGGGCCGCGAATGGGCTGAGAGGCCGACCGCCGCGAACAGGGCCATGAGCGGGAGCCCCTTGTCCACAGGGCGCCGCGCCAAGGCCGCCCGCGCGGCAAGGGGCAGGGCGCGGCGGGCGCGAGACGGCGCCAGTCGCCTCCAGGCCTTCAGGGCGCGCCAGGTGCGCGGCAGGGACCTGCCGCCTCGGCGTCCGATGGCTGGGCGCCTGTCCACCAGCGCCGCCCCCGCCTGGCCCCGGAGGCTGCTCTGCTCCCCCGACAAGTGCGTCGCGGTGAAGTAGTCGCTGACGAGACAATCCACGCGGTCGTCGGTGGCCCTCGCTAGCTCCTTGTCGGCCAGGCCGGCGTGCGAGAGGGAGCGATCGAAATGCTTGGAGTAGCGCTCTCGCGCCCTGCGAGTCACCGCCGGCCGCTCCAGAAGCGCGGGGCCGCCCGAGGCGCCCTGCGTGATCATGTCCGCGCAGAGGTCCTCCGCGGCGCGGTTCACCGCGCTGCAAGAACCGGTCGCGTCGCGCCCGACCTCCGCGCCCGCCTGGGCGCCGCCGGCGGGGGGCGCGGGAGCGAGGTCCTCGAGCGTCAGCGGGGGCGGCAGCGGTGGCCCCGCGGGAAGGCCCCCCGTCCGAGCCCACGCGTTCCTCGCCGTCGGCAAGGCGGGGCCTGGCATCCCAAGAACTCAACATCACCTTCGCAATCGGCAGTGTTCTCGAATACCCAGCTGGCCCCGCGACTGCTCTGCGCGGCGTCGGCGCCAGGAATTCGGGAGCCGGCGCCGGCGAGGTTCTCGCGGGCATCGGCGGCCCCCCCTTCGCAAGGGCCGACGGCGGCCGCAGCGCCCGAGATCGCATCGTTTCGGATAGGACTCTCAGGCAAAGGAGCGAGACAAACAAACTGATCTTTTGAGCCAAAACGACTGCGCCTGCTGATCCAAGACTTCGAATAAATACTGCAACGCAACTTCGGAATGGTCACGGCCCCCGGCGTCACTCCGATTGAACGAACTCAGAAGGGATCTGGCGGAAATAGGGGGTAGTACCGAGGGCGAGGGCGCACGCGCGAAATCTTCCCATCTGGACTACCATCCTGACTCCTTGAGCGAGCGAATACGAGAACAGCGGCCATGTTGTCACATGAGTACAGCTGCCTGATACAAGTCCCGTGTCTGGCACGGGCGAGCCTCCGAATGGACTTCACTCAGGCCGAGGCTTCCAACGCCAAGACCCCCTGTAAAGCCCAAGCCCCCTGCCTGGCAGTTTTCCAAGCTGAGCCGCGAGGGCGCTGCCAGTGGACCTCAGGAAAATCCGCCACGACCTCCCAAGCGTCAGCGCAGGCCCCCCCACTCGCTGGCGTCGTCGCGGACGGTGGGCGGGGGCGAGAGGGCCCCCTAGCCGAGTGAGGACCCGCGCGCTACAATCGAGACCGCTCGCTGACACGACCGACGCAGGCCACCTGGGAAAGATCCAAAAAAAACGGCCAATTGCCCAACCAGCGAGACTGAGTCGGTTTCGAGGACACAGGGGTTCCAAGGGAGCTGCCACCAAAAGCAATAGCAACCCGCGGAAGGCCTGGATCGCATCAACGACCTCAGGCCGCATTGCGTCGATCTAAAATCATAGGCGGCGTGGAAGATCGAGAGCGACTCACGAGCGGCCAGCTCGCAGAACCCAAAATGCCCTATCGCCTTCTCAAGCGCCTGGCCGTTGAAACGTCCTCAAGCGAGTAGGCCAGTCAGGCCTCGCTCGAGCTTCCAACGCCTGCTCGGGGTGATGCCCGAGCGGAGGCGACGCCGTCGAGCTCTGGCCCGAGAGCCACTCAAGCGCCGCCGCGCGACGACGCCGACTTGCGAAGCGCCGGGCCGACCGGCTCGACCAGGTCGCTCCGCTCTGACCCCATCCTCTCGCTGAGGGAGGCCTCTTTTGAGACCGCGCCCAAGTTGCCCGCGCGCGCGCGGGCGCCGCCGACCCCTCGCGAGGAAGCCTTCAGCGCGAAAGCCTCGGCCTGGTCCTGCAGCAGGGGCTGGCGCCTGTCGGGGATCTTCTGACCCGGGTCAATGCAGACCCGGGTCAGCAGGAAACCAAATACTGTAATGCAGGAAAAAAACACTGCAACGCAGGTCTTCGCAAACCCGGGTCAGCCAATATGCGCGGCCGCCTCGCGGCCACGAGCGGCTCCCAAACCCGGGTCGGCCATATGGGGGTCTTCGCAGGATCCTGCAGGATCTGGCGCCCTGGCTGACCCCCGGTTGCATTGACCCCCGTCTCAATGCTCCCGAGCCTGTCGGCGGGCGCCGCCTCCGGCAGGCTGAGGCTGAGGCCCCTTCAGACCCCGCCCTCGTTCGCCGCCTGGGCCAGGTAGAGCGATCGGGCGAAGCCCGCGGGCAGCGCCGCCAGGCGGGGCCGCGCCAGAGCGCCATCGCGCGCTCGGGGGCGGCGGGCAAGCGGAAGTAGCGGCCGAGGCCCTCGCGGGCGCGCATCCTGCAGAAGCAGCCCTTGACATCCGCGGTGGTCGCGTAGACGACGAAGGCGCCCTGCAAGCGGTGGCCCTCGGCGGAGGAGGGCAGGGCGCCTGGCGGCAGCTCCACCTCGATGCGACCGAAACCACCTTCACTGCTGAGGCGCTGCACGCCGGGGGGCGCCCTGAAGCGGCCGCTGATGCGTCTCGCATCAATAATCATTCGCAGTGCGCCGCTGAACTTCGCCGCGAAGAAGAGGCCCGCCGACTCTGCGGGATCTCGCGCAAGCGTGCAATAGGATTTGGGCTTTATTTTCTGCGCGGGGTCCATGCGCAGACGCGGCATGCTGTCGGGGTCCACCATTTCCCGCTCCAGCCTCGTTCGCTCGGGGTCCCCCACCAGAAAGGAGCGGCGCTCGGGGTTTCGATGTCCTCGATGAAACGGCAGTCCAGCACGTCATCATACAGCGAGACCTTGCCAGATTGATAGGAGACAAGGCCCCTTGGGGCAGAGTCCGTCTCGTGCGCGGACTGCCCCCGGAGCGGCTTCCTGAGGGCTGCCTCCGCCTTCAGCGCCGCCTGGGGGGCCGCGGCCTGGCGCCGATGAATTTGGATTTCTAGCCGGCCATCCAGTTAAGACTACGAAAAGCGAGATTCACCAATTCTACCTCACGCTGTCGCTCGCGGGTCCTGCGCTGAGGCCTGCGACCCCGAGCAAGGTTGCCTGGCGTCGCCAGCGGCGGCACAGGGAACAAGTCTCTCTCAAAATCGCACGGCGTCAGCGGCGAGGCTAGGGGCCAGAAAAAAAAACGCACAGCGCAATTTCACGCAAAAGGGTTTGGCACCACCAACGGCGCAACGAATGTGCACCCATGCCGCTGGATCCCCGGCGGTCCGAACCAGGGTTGATGCACGGCCGTGCTCTAAGATGCAGTTGAGAGGTCTGGTGTGGCAGCGCTGTCGGCGGCGACGAGATCCCAGGCTCCGCTACCAACAAACATTGCATGGTGGTTCTGCACGGCCAAACTGCCATGCAACGTCAGTTTGTTAATCCTTTGGCAGCAGCGCGCGCCGCGCCAGCAGAACGCAGTCGCGCGCGCGGGCATGCGGGGCCGGCGATGTGGCTGGCCCGCTGCCAGCGAGATTTCGGCATAAATGCAAAAATCCACGTGGGGTCGTCTTGGGCGCGGCATCCGGCGAAGCATCATCGCGCTGCCAGGCGCCGCGGCCTTGCGATCGTAGCGCCAGGCCCCGTGCTCTTCTCGAGACGGGAAAACAAACTCCACGCAGAGGAATCGCGCGTGCTGTGGTGAGGACAGCGAAAACGATCGCACGCGGAGGAAATGCCTTCGCGCGCCCCCCGCGCTGGCAATGTGACCAGACCGCGCGCAAAGGAATTGCGCGAGACTTCGCGGCGCGCGATGGAATTGCAGCAACGGCCTGTGGGCTGAGCTTTTCGCGCGCGGCGGCAACTCCGAGCCGGGGCGGAAGGGGGGGGGGCAAGGCAAAGCAGGGGGAGAAGAAAAGAAGAGGAGGGCGAGAACGAAGCGAAGGGAGCAACGCAAGGAAGCCAGGGCACGCGCAAGCGCAGCAAACACTGCACTGCGCGCGGAGAAAGTCGTTCGTTCGTTTTGCCCGCGCGGCACATAAATAAAACAAGACTTGTCTGCTGCCTATCGAAGGGGCTTCTTGGGAAGGAGACCCGCGCTCTCTTCCCGACCCCTTCCCCGCGCACCGTTGCGGGCGCGCTGCAACGTGTTCCGGCGCGCGGGCAGAGGCTGCCAGTTGCTGGCGAGCGGCTTTTCCACCCGTCACGCGCCCCGAACAAACGCGGCCAGCTGAGCGCACATGCCGCGCAAACCGCCCGCTCCAAACGCCGACTCCACCCCGATCCCCGCACCCGCGCCAGGCGCCCTCTCAACGACTCCCCCTCCCGCCATAAAACCAATGAAACTCGTTGCGTTTATGTCTGTGTTTTTGGCGCTGGGAGGCGCGGGCCAATCTGCGGTGCCAGCCTGAGGGTGCCCACTCCTCCGGCCGGGCCTGGTCGGTCGCGACTGGGCCGGCGGGGGGGGGCCCGACGTGCGTCCTCGCACTCGGCCGCGACCTCGCTCTGCCCCCGCCGCCGGCCCCTGCGGCGCCTCCACCTCCGCCGGCGTCGGTGGCCCCGGAGCTCGAAGTCGCGCGAGCGTCGACCGCCTCCGCCTTCTTCATAAAGTGCTCCACCTCCCAATCCTCCTTGGCCCTGCGAATGGCGCGGCCCCTGAGCGGGCGCCGTTAGCTCGCCGGCGTCGCCCAGCGGAGCCAAGTACTTGGCGTTGGCGAGCGACGGCGCCCCCCCCCCGCTTGTGCGCGTCCACGATGGCGTCGAGCCGGCGCGCGATCACCTCGAGGCACGCGAGGCCGCCCAAGTTCACTTGGTCGAAGCAGCCTGCCTCCTCGAGCGCCTCCGCCAGGGGGCGCAGCTCGCGGCCCGCCCCGTCCGCGGGCGCGATGTTCTTGTCGCGCAGGAACTTCTGCAGCCAGGCTCGAGGCGAACCCGCCGTCCGAAACATCATCTTTCAGGTGTGGAGGCACGCCGGGCCTCTTCCAAGCGCTGGTGGCCCCAGTCGTAGCGCGCCGACTCGTTCGCGGCCTTCCTGCACACTTTGTAGCGGTTGCCTTGGTCGTCCCACTCGACCCGCAGCGCGCGCTCGCCCTCGCCTCCTGCTTCGCCCTTCACGGTCGGCGGCGATATCCTCGGCGCCCGCAGCGCTGGGCGGGGGCCCCTCTATGGAAGCGCCGCGGGAGGTCTTGCCTCCAGGAGGCGACCCAGCTGGGCCACGCGCCGCCTAGTCCAGTCAGCCACCTCATCGGCCGCCATCACCTCCAAGCGAAGGGCCTGGCCGCGGCGGAACCAGAGAGCGTCCGCGCCCTCGCCCACCATGGCCTCCTCCGACGGACGGGCCCACGATGAAGCCGACGTCAAGGCCGACCGTCGGCTTCGCCAGAACCCAGACCTGTCCCCCAGGCGGGGGAGTAGGCGCGCCAGCAGCGGCCACCAGAGCCTCGCCCGCGTCGCCGCCCAACACAGGGGGCGCCTGCTTGCCGCGCAGCCGCCGCGACGGAGGAGCTGGAGGCGCCCACGGGAAAACTTCAGCCGCGGCCCGCAGGCAACCCGAGGGAAGCTCCACGTGAGCGGGGGTCTCCGCCGCGGTCTGGCCGCGCGCCTTCATCGTCTGCCTGCATTCTTCAGCCAGCCCCACCAGCCGTGCGAGCGAAGGGCGATCCCAGTAGCTCTAATAGAGCCGCCGACCGCTCGGCGGGGCGTCAACAGCCGAGAGGCACTCTCCTCGCGAAGGCCCATCGTCAGGCGAGGCGCCCGACAGCAGCTCCTCCCACAGGTCGCCATCGGGCGAGAGGACCCAGTACACGTGATCGTCCACCACCGAGCCCTCCTCGACGCGCCTGGAGGGCCAGACCACGAGCCGTTCGTGGTCAACGTGGTCGCCCAGGTAGCTCACCCGGGCGCGAGCCCCGCAGGGCAGATCAGCGCACCACTCCTCCCGCGCGGGCAACGGGGGCAGGGCTGCCAGGCGCCCGCGACGGCGTAGCATGACGCCCTGGAGCGGAGCGGCGACCGACGCAGTTGCATCAGCGATCCGCCAGCCACACCCACGCCGGCGCGAGCAGGCTCACCAGCAGGTGCGGCAGCAGGGTTTCCAACTGAGGCGACGCGGGAAGCTCGGGCAGACGCAAGGGCCGCAGGTGGCGGCGGCGGGGGTGGCGGACTCGAGGCCGCCAGCTGTGAAGCCGCCTGGGCCGCGGCCTCGGCTCGCAGGGCAGCCTCCGAGGCCGCGACGCAGGCACCCTGGCGGCCCGGGTGCCGGGAACACTGGGCTGAGCCGCCAGCCGAGCCCCGCCAGCAGCGCCACGCACAAGGCCGGCAGCGCCGCCGTCGCGCCGGGGGCGAGCATGCGGCGCGCCGCCCGTCTCTGAGCCGAAAACAGGCTGTGGAGGGGGAGAGGGGTCAAGTGAGAGGGACCTCCGGTGCTTCAACTCCTTGGATCGTTTAGCAGGTGTGCTGCGAATCAGACGTCACCGAATTCAAAAAGCTCAATCCCAAACCGTCCAAGAACATATATGGCCCTGGCCATGAACGCTCCCGCCCCCCTCTGGTCCGCACGCCCCGCTTGGACGCCCCCGACCACAACGACGAGAACTCCCAGTCCCGTCCGTGTGCGGGATTCCCCGTCCCGGGGGGTCGCCTGCATGCCTCTCCGGGCCAGGCATGTGGCACCTGCTGGCACGAGGCAGCGGGGCCCTCGGGGCTGCCGCCCCCGCCCCGGGGCCCACCACCTTCTTCGGGAGCAGCCAAGTGGGGGGTGTCCGAGAGGGGGGGGGGGTGCAAATCGTCACCGGCGGCATGTACGCGGCCCAGCGGGGGGGCCAGGGACGTAATGAAATAAGAGGAGGCGCCATGACATCTGGGGAGATACCATGGCCCCCGCCCTTTGCCGCCCCCGACTTCTTCGGCGGCGCGCCGAAAGGGGGGAGGCGAGAGGGGGCAGGCCTCTTCCAAAAGAGGCGGCGGGGCCGCGGAGAGGGCCCGGGAAACTGCTCGGAAGGCCGGAGGCCCGCTGAGCCTGCCGAGCAGGCCCTCTGCCAGTGGTCCTCGGGTCATCCCGCGGGCCTCTGGCGGCCGTGCGGGGCGGTCAAGGCACCTCCTCGGGGGGGGGCTCGGGCGGAGGGGTCTGGGGCCCGAGGGGGGGCCCCACAAGAGAGTCCAAAGTGGGTTCCTCGGAGGCATTTTTCGGGCCCCTTGTCAGGGGCGCTAGCCTCTGTCTCGTCTGTGGTATCTTCTCTGTCGCCCAGTCCTTGCGTTCTACCCTAGTTTCGGTCGCCTTTCCTGCTCGCGTCCCCTCGCTCTGTACGATCGACGCCTGAGTGCAGCCGCTTGCAGCGTGGGGTCCATTGCCCCAGTGTTCTCTTCGATCCGATGCGCGAGATTGCCAGACTTCTGTGAGACAGTCCATGGCCAACGCATTTTCGGTACGAGTGTGCTGCCCTAGTGCCCAAGAGCCCACGAGAGAGCTGGCTGAAGGTGAAATGTTGGAGCACGGCGATGACGAGGAATACGACGACAGAGAGGAGGAGATGGAGGAGGAGGAGGAGGAGGAGGAGGAGGAGGAGCCGCACTGGATGACAACAGCAACAACGAGAAGCAGCAGCAGGAAGGGATGATGAGGCTGAAGATGATGCTGACGATGACTGTGATGATGAAGATGGTAACCATGATGCTGCTACGGCTGCAGCTGCGGCTGCGGCCGCTGACGCTTCTGCTGGGGACGAGGGGGATGAGGATGAGAAAAGCAGCTGCAGCAGCGCCAGCAGGGAACGCAGAGAAGCAGGGGCAAGAGAGCGGCGGGGGGGGGGGGCCGTGCCTTGCCCGTGCCTTTGCTCTCCTCTTCCTGCCTGCCTTTGCCGCGCCTGGCCCTGGCGGCCGTGGAGGGCTTGGCCCTGACGAGCTCGGAGGGCTCCTCGGGCAACCCCCGCGCGCGGGCGCTCGCGCCGAGCGGCCGCCGCACGGCCCCGCCAAGTGCCGCCGGCTGGGCCGGGGGGCGCTGCGTCGTCGTGCATCGTGCGTCGTCGTCGTGCACGTCGTCGTCGTGCGTCGTCGTCGTGCATCGTCGGCGTCGTCGTCCGTCGTGCGTCGTGCGGCGTCGGCGTCGGCGTCGGCGTCGGCGTCGGCGTCGTCGTCGTCGGCGGCGGCGGCGGCGGCGGCGGTGGCGGCGGCCGCGCGGGCGCTCAAGGTCGAACAGCCTCCGGGTGCCGAGCCCCAGGGGAGCATGCAGGGGAGCGTGGAACGGGGAGAAGATCGGCGAGGGAGGCACAGTATGCAAATAGCTGTTCTCCAGGGTCCCAAGACCGCTAACCAGCAAGAATATCCGACGCAGCAGCGGGAGACGAAGCCAAACGCAACAGCGTGCACGTGGAGTGGCCCCTCGGGCCACAAGTGTGACTCTCCAAGCAAACGTCGAGCAGTGCTGAGAGGGGTGCCAGGCGGCACCACGCAGGCATGTAAGACAATTCTCAAATGAAACGAAAAGGAAATCGGCTAGCCGAAACTCGTAGGCCTTTTTCTCACGGCCAAGAGAACGGGCGGTGGTGGGGAAGCAGGATGGCAGAACTTGAGCCATCACAGTTGCAGTAACAGCAACATGATGTAGACCGGTATGCTACACAGGGACTGGGAGAAACCACATCTACAGATTACTATTCTCCAGGGTCCCAAGACCGCTAACCAGCAAGAATATCCGACGCAGCAGCGGGAGACGAAGCCAAACGCAACAGCGTGCACGTGGAGTGGCCCCTCGGGCCACAAGTGTGACTCTCCAAGCAAACGTCGAGCAGTGCTGAGAGGGGTGCCAGGCGGCACCACGCAGGCATGTAAGACAATTCTCAAATGAAACGAAAAGGAAATCGGCTAGCCGAAACTCGTAGGCCTTTTTCTCACGGCCAAACCTCCCGAATTCCCCGGGACTGGTCTCTGGACCGTCATCTCACGAAGCGAGTGCAAAAGCCTGGCAGGTAAAGAGCTGGCAGCGCGCTTCGCGCTTCGAATCTGAGAAGCGTCACATTTTTCAAGCTGCTTCAAAAGTTGGGCGTGCTTCTCATATCTTGTGACACTCTTGAAACTCACCCAGCGGCCTCTCTTTTGGATTGACGGAAGGTCAGCTCTCTTCTCAAACCGATCGTTGGACGGGCCAGAGTGGCGCAACCAATGCGGCGAGCCGCCCACAGCCTGTAGCTTTAACCTCACCAGGGAGGCTTTGAACTCTCTCTCATAGGTGGCAAGATCAAAATCGAACACGCGCTCGCCGACTTGGACTGAGTCTTTGAGCGCGGCCACAATGTCTCTGACCCACTCACGGCCACACACCCCGACATCGACGGTGTCATCCGTCTGGCCAGTCTTGGTCCTCCCCCCGGACTCGGACGGCGCGAAGACCACTGCCCAGCGGCCGGCAAAAGCACGGCCGGCCGCGGGCTGGCTACGGAGAATGTCGGCCTCTGAGAGCTCCAGGGTCTCCGAAGGCCTCGAGTGCAAATCGGTCTGAAGCACCACGCAGGCGGCCATGCGCACCAGCCCGTGATTCAGCAGGTCCAGCGCGATGGCCCAGATCAGTATGAGCGGATAGGGTAGGCCAACCAGCCCGGGATCTGTCCGCTCCCAAGCCTTCAACTGCCTCCGAGCCCGTGGGAGCAACTGACGTCCGTCCTGAAAAGGCTCTCCTCGCAGCAAGATCCAGCCGAACAGGCCGTTGCGGCCCGTCCCAGGACCCATGCCATCGAAGAACATCTGAGTAAACCAGTGCACCATATTCTCGTCAGCGTCCTTTGCATTGTTGGTCTGGCGACCGACCCCGACGCACCGCGCCTCGAAGTCCTCCAGCGCCGCCGTGTACAGCCTCCGAGTGGACTCTGCGACGGACAGCTCCCTCATGAACTGCGCCCGCGAACGCCCGCTGCCCTCAGCCCGACGACGCCGGCTGGCGGCCTTGGCCTTAGCCGAGACCCGGCGGCGGGACGACTGGGAGGTCGAGAGCCTCCCCGCGCTTCCTGAGCCGGGCCCTCTCGGCGGCCCCCGTCCTGCCGAAGAGGACGCCGTGGCGCGTGAGGTAGTCGGTGGCTGCTCCACAAACCGCATCGCCGCACGCTGCTTCGTCAGCACCGGGAACATCGCGCCCAGCACGAAGACGACGGCCAGGCCGAACCAGTGCCGCCAAGGCAGCGTGCCACTCGCCGGCCCAAGGGGCATCGCCCCCACGGGCGGCCAGAGGTGCAACCTCGCTCAAGTATGACGCCCATCTCGAGCACAAAGCCGACGGATACTGACCCGCCAGGGCCGTGAGATTGCACCAGACGTGACCCCCAAAGCCATCAGGGACCCGAACTTTACCCACCAGCTGTTCATGTCGACGATGGGCACAGGGAGCCGACAGGCCCCTCAGCTCCGGGATGTTCGTGAGCACCAGAGTCCACTTTTGATGAGGAGCACCATACGCACACATAGGAAATCGCACCCAAGACGCACCATGGAGACCAGCGAGGCGACCAATAGGAGGGAAACTCCAGAGCCCAGAGGTCATGGGGTTCTCGATGCTCCAGCCCACTCCACAATGTTGACACTCGCGAAAAACTTCAGCGGTAAACAACGCGAACTCAACCCCGAGACGCTCCAGGATTTCAGCTCGATGAAGATTGCGGACTCCACGTCAAACGTTGCTCCAGGCCCTGCACGGGGTCCCCAAGTGTACAGCCCAAACTCTTCCAGACCGAACACAAGATAGGACGAGCAGCTGTGTTTTTCTCCTCGAGAGGTCATACTCGGCACCCTTCTTGATGTCAAACGGGGCCGCTGTCCGCAGCCCAGCACGTCGCACGGCGGCGGTCAACCCCGCCGCGCCTGCGAACAACTCCAGGAAGACGCGTGCATGTGAGGTGGAGGGAGGCGATGGTGACTCGGCGTGTTCTCTATGATCGGGAGGAGTGGACGAAGAGGATGAGCCCCCCTCCCCGACGCTCGCGGACGGCAACCAAGGGGCAACAGGCTGTCGCTCCCTCTTCTTCTGCAGCAGCCACTCAGGGTCGCGGGCCTGGCCCCTCCTCGACCCCTCGTCGGCCGCATTCAAGTCTGTCGGGACGTGCCTGACCCGCCACCGAACTCGGCAGCCCACGCTATAGGCGGCCGCCTTTCGGCACAACGAATTCAGAACGTGTGATCGGGCCCTGCCTTTGTCAAAGCAGCAGCAGCAAACAAGGTTGTCGCAAAGGCTGAGAGCACGGTGCCCGTGGTGGGCGCGTGTCCGGCAAAAGCGCCTCAGGCCGGCCACGCAGATCCGGCCCTCCTTCACGTTGATGTGCTCGTCATACTTCCAACGACCCTCGACGGCGGTAGTCCACCCGAGGCTGCTGGTGAGGGCGGTCGGCAGAGCGGGCACGACGTTGAGCAACTCCACCTCCTGGGTCAGACCGGGGCGGCTAGCCCAGCGCCGCGGCGCACCGCGGCCGACAGCAGCTCGGCGAAACAGGAGCTTCCCCAGCTCGGTCTCGCGCCAGGCTCCTGCCGGCTGACCGCCTCGAACTCGGGCGTCTGCATGCTTGGGGGCCCCCTCGTCCAGCGTGGCCCCGAAGCCGTCGGTGACGCCTCGGAGCTGGTTGAGGTACGCCGCCGTGTAGGCGTCCGAACTCCTGTCGGCCTCCACCTCCACGAATCGCCAACGCTCTCGCCAGCGATATGCATCCCAGACAGCACGAAGCGGCTTCTGTCCGTACATCAGGCAGAAGCCGGAGGACGACGAATCCGAAACGTGGACCTCGTCGGCGAGGGGCGCACTCAGATCGACCTCGGTCAAGAAACAGGCGATGGCGGCCATGCGGAGCTCCCCGCGGACCGCCGCGGGAAACGCTGCCCGCCGCCGACTGCCGTCGCCGATGAAGTGGTACACGCCCTGCAGGATGGACAGCACGCAGGGCTGCAGCCCCAAGAGGGCCACGGCGTGCCCCGCCCAGACGCGGAGCTCGGCCCCCGTCGCGTGGCCCCGCTTCAACAGGGCCTTGGTGGCGAAGTAGAAGCGCCAGACCCGCTTGGGCTTCTGGCGCACGCGGCGGTCGGTCCCGCACAGCACCAGGCCCAAACTCTCCAGCTCCTCCACCGCCACGTCCGCGGCGTGCAGGGCCAGCTCCGCCTCGGCAGCCCGCTCCTCGAAGGCCCGCGCCCCGTGCTCGGCGTCGACGGCCGAGCCCCCCACCCCTGTGAAGTTGTCCACGTACACGGCGGCCAGAGGCCGCCCAGGGCGCAGGAGGGGCGCAGGACGCTTGTCTCGAAGGAGCTGCCGATCTCCATCAGCAGCAGAGCGTCGAACCTGCTGAGTGACAGCCTCCTGGGCGAAGTACAGCGCCCAGGCCCAACCCATCGGTAAAACACGGAGGCAGGGGAACAGGAGCTCGCCTGCTCGGGCAGGAGTCCAGTCTCCCACCTCGTCGTCCCGCACGCGCGTGATGCCCATGTCCCAGTCCTCGATGGTCAGCGCGGAGTCGAACCCGAACCAGCTGCCCATCTCCTCGTTGGCGAGCTGGTAAAAACAATCCTTGACGTCGGCTCCCGAGAAGCGTGGCTCGCAGACGCCACCAAAGCCTCCCAGAGCCGTAGCGTAGCTGCTGAGGTCGATCTCCGAAAGGCAGGCTGCACCTCCCAAGACCGTCCGAGGAGGGAGGCGATGGCACATGTTCGTCGCCCTCGCGTCGCAGATAAACCTGATGTTGCCGTCCTTCTTGTGAACGAAAAAAGCGCCGCAGCGGGACTTGATGGCCCGCCTGAAACCCACGATGCCGATCCTGGCAAGTCGGCGAAAAAAGTCACGACGGAGCTCAGCATCACCGCGAAGCCGAGGGTCCCAGTACGGCTCGGGCATCCCCCCAGCCTCTCGGACACGCTCGGCGATCTCGGGTTCTGAGAGCTCGATCTGGCTCTGGA